CCAGTAGTGGTCAGCGAAGAGGCGGGGCCAGGAGCTCTCTCTCGATCCCTGCAACCACAATTAGGTGAGTACATCAACCAAATAACTGCTGCAGCATACGGGCACCTAGCAAACCTAAGCACAGCATTCTGACATCTTAATAAGGAATTGTTCAGGACCCTGTACACTGTGTACATTAGGCCCATATTGGAGTATGCAGCACCAGTTTGGAACCCACACTTAGCCAAGCACGTAAAGAAACGAGAGAAAGTGCAAAGGTTTGCAACAGGAATAGTCCTGGAGCTAAGGGGTATGTCCTATGAGGAGAGGTTAAAGGGAATCACCCTGACAACACTGAAATACAGGAGAGATAGGAGGGATACGATAGACATAAAATTCTGAGAGGAATTGACAAGGTGGACAGAGACAGGATCTTCCAGAGATGGGACACAGCAACAAAGGGTCACAGTTGTAAGTTGAAGGCTCGGATGAATCACAGGGATGTTAGGAAGTATTTCTTCAGTTACAGTGTTGTCAGGAAGTGAAATAGTCTGGGAAGTGATGTAGTGGAGGCAGGATCCATACGTAGCTTTAAGAAGAGGTATAATAAAGCTCACGGAGCAGGAAGAGTGATCTAATAGCGACCAGTGAAGAGGCGGGACCAGTAGCTGTGACTCGACCCCTGCAAACACAACTAGGTGAGTACAGACATGCAGACGCAGACATAAAGACGCAGACATACAGACGCAGATGTATAGACACGCAGACGTACAGACACACAGACATGCAGACGCAGACGCAGACTCGCAGACGTGCATACGCAGACATGCATACGCAGACGTTCAGACATGCAGACACAGACATGCAGACACAGGCATGCAGACACAGACATGCAGACACAGACATGCAGACACAGACATGCAGACACAGAGATGGGACACACCAACAAGGGGTCACATTTGGAAGTTGAAGACTCAGATGAGTCACATGGATGTTAGGAAGTATTTCTTAAGTCACAGAATTGTTAGGAAGTGGAATAGCCAGGAAAGAGAGGTGGTGGAGGCAGGGTCCATATACTGTATAGCCTTAACTCTTTCAGGGTCCAGAGGCCAAATTTCAAAGTGCACACCAGGATCCAAGAATTTTCAAAAAAAAAATTTTGTTATTTTTTCTTATGAAATGGTAGAGAATCTTTTTCTGAGGGTAATAAAATAAAAAGTACGAAATTTGATGAAAAATTGATGAAATTATGCTCTCGCGAATTTTGATGTGTCAGTGATATTTACGAATCGACGATTTTGCCGTCTTTGACTCCCATTTTAGGCCAATTACATTATTCCAGTTGACCAAATTCTTAGCTATTTCACTAGTATTACTTCTCTTCTATCGATTGAGCACAAGAAATTGCCAAGTCGACTGTTTCAACTACAAAATAAAGTGATCGGAAATTGGTAATTTGGCCAATTTAACACAAAGTTCAAAATATTCCAATTTCAAAATAGGGTCCAGAATAAACAATGTAAGTATTCCTGGTACTAAACTAACATTTCCTCTGTTCATTAGTTACGTTTCGAGGCTTTTCAAATGAATTCCATTTTATTTTTTATTCACATAAATTAATTTTTATTCAAACCAAAAAATAGAAGATTTACTGTTATGCAATATTGTAATAACTGTATATATATCATCACCACATTTGTGAATGTATATTAGACCCACCAGCTGGCGTGTATTAGATGTGTGAGGTCGTTTGTTTACTCTTGAACATCGGCAAAAATTTAACATTTCGCTGCTTTGAGCTCAGTTTCAAGCCATTTCCAGTGCTAAAACCAATCGAAATCATCTCGATTTCTGTAATATGTCTTCCATTCTATCAAATGAGACCAAGAAATCACTAATACAACTATAAAAAAGTACGAAAAAACACTGCAAAGTCGCTGTTTTAATCGAAAATCACGGTCTCAGTTTTTTCCTCTCATTATACACTGTGTGCTGCAGGATTTGTTTTATGTGGTGCATACATACCACATAGATGTATTCTCTCATATCTAGGCCCAAATTTACAACTCGCAGCTTATCAGAGTGAGCTGAGCTCATGGCGTAGATCTACGGTTTGGACCCTCAATGTAAAGCCGTAGATCTACAGCACGGACCCTGACAGGGTTAAGAAGAGGTATGATAAAGCTCATGGAGCAGGGAGTGACCTAATAGCGACCACTGAGGAGGTGGGGCCAGGAGCTGTGACTCAACCCCTGCAACCACAATTAGGTGAGTATAGACATAGATAAACACAGACACACAGATACAGACACAGATAGTCATGCACAGACATTCATTCACAAACATTCATGCATATTAGGTCAATTTTGTCCCTAGGATGTGACCCACACCAGTTGACCAACACCCAAGTACCTATTTTACTGATGGGTGAACATGGACACCAGGTGCCTTAAGGTTAGGTTAGATAAGGTTTGTCAGGAAACATACAAGTGTTTCCTGTTGCGGGTTTTAGTCATGATGACCCGCCGTTGGAGCTTTTGGTCATCTGGCTGAGGTAACGTGTCCTAATGTTTTTGCATGTACTAGGGATCGCCCCTGAAACCTAAGTGTGTGAGCTGAGTGCGCTGGTGATCAAACTATGGGACAGCATATATATGCACTGTCTTAAATAGAACTGCATTACTGATGTCAGCGTCGCTCACATATATTCATGTTTTAAGCACAGCACCCTCAGATAAGCTGTGAATGATAAATTTTAGCCTGGACATGAGGGAATGGGTCAGTGTGGTGAAGGTGTACAGTATAAAAGAAAATCCTGACTCATGAGATGCATGATGGGAAAAGTAAACCTCTGAACTTGTGTTTGGTTTAAAATAGAGATTTTGTTTGGTTTCATACTTACACTAGCCTACCTTTCTGCCAATAGTACTTATATCTCACCCTTACTTCCTCTTCCCTTAGTTTATAAACTTTCACCTCTCTCTTACTTACCGTTGCCATTTTCCTTTTGTCCCATTTACCTCTAACTGTAGCTACAACTAGATAATGATCCGATATATCTGTTGCCCCTCTATAAACATGTACATCCTGGCAGCCTACTCATCAACCTTTTATCCCCCAATACATAATCTAACAAACTACTTTCATTACATGCTGTATCATATCCCCATTTTCATTTACCCCTGGCTCCCCAAATCAATCTACTACTCCCTCTACAACATTTTTACCCAGTTTAGCATTGAGATCCCCAACCACAAGTACTCTCTTGGTTCAAAAGTCCTCATGCACTCATTCAACATTTCCCAAAATCTCTGTCTCTCTTCAACACTTCTCTCTCCTCCAGGTGCATAAATACTTACTATAACCCACTTTTCACATCCATTCCTTATTTTACTCCACATAATTCTTGAATTTATATTCCTTCTTTTCCTGCCATAACTTATCCTTCAACATTATTGCTACTCCTTTCTTAGCTGTAACATGTTAGAAACCCCTTAGGTAATCCCATTTATTTCTCCCCACTGAAACTTTCCTACCCCCTCCAGCTTTGTTTCACTTAGAGCTAGGACATCCAGCTTCTTTTCATTCTTAACATTCACAATCATCTCTTTCTTATCATTTGCACAACATCCATGCACATTCATACATCCCACTTTGATAGTGTTCTTCCTTTTCTTTTAAGTAGGCTATATGGGAAAAGGGGTTGCTAGCCCATTGCTCCCAGCATTTTAGTTGACTTTTATAACACGCGCTTGCTTACGGAGGAAATATTCTTATTCCACTTCCCATGGATGTGACAGGAAAAGTTTATATAAGAAGAACCATTAAGATCAAATCAAAGAAAACTCAGATGAGTGTGTATACATAAACGTGTACATGCATG